AGCAGTGTGATAGCTCAGTCGAAATTGATGTTATACAACCATGTAAGTAAGAAAATATATTGGAAATAAAATCTCGCCGACAGCTACTGCTGTTGACTAGGCGTGGAAAGCCTTGACGAGAAAAAGTGGGCGTTAACATATGCATCTTACAGAGAGAACCTCAAAGCTATCAGAGACATGTCTTCTCTCCAAGAACTTTATAAACAACCAGAATTCAATTGGTGAATGGTGACTAGCAGTGGAATCCAGGATGCGCATTTCGTCCTATTTGGGACTCGTCAGATGGATGTACCTGCATTTCTCAGTGAGTGATGATGTTCCCACCGACGCTCGAACCCAGTACCCATAGTTTCAAACGCCAAAGCGTTATCCACTAGACCACTTGGGCCACGACAGCCACCTCTTGTGCAACGGGTCCAATCAATCGACGGGAAAATTTCAAATTCAATAAAACCAGAATTCAAGTTATCAGTTAAATACTTGTCAGTTTCAAAACTTTCACCCGGCTTTAAAACATTTTATGAAAATGCACATTCTGTTGTAATTAAATTAGTCTTTCCGTCACGGTTTTGTTCTCATGTTCTTCAACATGTTTCTCTAAATGAACTTAATTCAGTCTTGGAAGAGCTAGAATCATGTGTACGGGAATATTCTTTAATTCTTGTTAAGGAGTTGGCATATCGAGAAGAACTAGATTTCGAACAAAAGCAAGGAGAAGTATTTATTGCAAGTCTAAATGAGCTACATCGACGTCGTAAGTGCAGGCATCGCCTAAGCACTCTACCACGCAGCTATCTATAGTTGATTTCAGGATTTCATCATGAGCTGACATCAGTTAGAGAACCAGTGGAAAACCACCTGGGAGTACTGGACAACTGTTTTGTCCTACTTTGGGACTCTTCAGCAGTACGCCCCGGGGTTCGAACCGACGGTCTTCTAGTTACAAGGCGAGCTCCTAGACCACTGAGCCGCTCACTGGGACCCCATCCAATAGCCAGTCCATGAATTCTAACTTCTGCCAATTCACGATATAGCGCGACCCCTAGCCAATGTCTTCGGCGAGTATCTGTCCTCACACCCGACCAGCTGCACCCTACTGGTCCCGACTTCCCACTGGAACCCAGGTAACTACCTACCTGAATAGGACCAGTCGCCAGTGAGCATCTCTTTGGTATTCAAGTGTTGGTTTGTAGAGATTTGATTGGTTTCAGGATTTCATCAGGAGCCGACATTAGTTAGAGAACCATTGGAAAACCTGGGAGTACTGGACAGCTGTTTCGTCCTAGTTTGGGGCTCTTCAGCAGTACGCACCCACCGGGATTCGAACGAGACAGCTGTCCAGTGCTCCCAGGTTTTCCAATGGTTCTCTAACTAATGTCAGCTCATGATGAAATCCTGAAACCAATCAAATCCTTACCAACCAACACTTGAATATCTTTAGTTGATAAAAAATTCCATAATGATGAAAGATTATGGTTTGCCATGTTGATGAGTTGGTCAGAATACTGAATCTGGAAGCAAAGTGTCATCATCGGAACCTGTTCAGAGGAAAAGTGCAAAGTTTAGTTTGCGTGCATAGTCCGCAGCTCAGATAGCGGTTACTTCAACGTCATGTACTACAGTGGCACTGAAAAAACATTTTTAAAGACTGAGTACGTTTTCAAAAGATGTCATAGCTGTGGCGTCAAAAAAAACAGGATACATTCACATAACATCCAGTTTTGCAGATAAAGACAACGGAATATTTTATTTAACAACTACGTCTGCTCGAGTTATTGCTGCTATTTCTCGTCTTCGAAGATGGGCTGACAGAAAATTATAAGGATCAGAAGTGGGATAAACAAATAGTTTCAGGGCTTTTCTCCACTGTATACGTACATCAACAGAAGGAAACAGCGACAAATATTTCTCTACGTAGTCGATAAGTTCGATCTGCTGTTACTACTCCCACATCATATGGTTCTCCTTCGGTACCTATGAATTTAATACATTCTGCTTCCAGTCATTTGATCGGATGACCTGAAACAATTTCAAGCAATCTGAAATACATCTATTTACCTACCATGATTTCCTATCGTCAGTCTTCCTACAATGAAGGCGCTAATGTTAATCAGTCGGAACTATTCAACAACATGATTCTGGTTATTCTTACAAATAATCCAAATCTAACACATGTGTTCATTGACTACAAATTAAATGTTTACGCTCCAAGGGACCGTTGACTATCAAAGCTTCTGCTAAAATATTGAAGATTAATCGTCCTTTCCCTGCATTTGGATCGCTTCGTGACACAGTGTGTCTCAACGAAGTTTTGTTAGCTATACAGTAGAATGTAGTGATGGTTTTCTTGCGTTCAGGCCATAACTGAATAAATTTGGTCGTTATACTTACACTAAAATATTTTCTCTAATTGGAAACTAAAGTTATTTGGAGGGATAGAGAATAACAGTAGAATCAAGGATGTGCATTTCATCCTATTTGGGACTCATCAACTCGATTTACCTCCAATCAACAGTGAGACTCGAATGCAGAGGATGTCATCTCGAACGCCACGACATCCAACTCTCGTTCAAAGGGTATTAGTTAGTATCTGATTTTAGGTGAATTTTGAATTTCCTGCTGATTGATAATATTGGACTGAATTATCTAATCCATGTTGACATATAGGGTTCTAGTACGGAAGCAGCCTTCAGTTGTTAGTGCAAATGCAGATATATCCGGCTGTTGGGCCCCAAACAGGATGGCATGCGTATCTTGGATTCCACTGCTATTCACCAGTAACGAAAATAACTTTAGTCATCGTCGAATCATCTGCAAGAGAACCTGATATGTTAACAGAGACCAAGCATTCCGGTCAGACATAATCAGTCAAAGGGAAATGTAAACAGAAACTAAGATTGAAACTTACAATGGTACATTCGCAGAGATAACAATAATTAATTTGGTAAGTGTTAATTGAACAGTTTTTGACATGGCTCTGATGGAAGACGTTATTCGAATGAAAAACTAATAAAAAGTATCTAGATTAAGGAATTTAAGGGGATTTAGTTTAATTTAATAACAGTTGTTAAATTTCGTCAAAAAACCAGCATGATTTAGAGAGATCCTAGTAAACGAGAAAGCATTGGACAGGTGTCTCGGGACTTTTGAGCACTGCTCACCCCCAACCCTACCATGGATCAGGCCTATGACCATTCAACCACTTGGAGTGGGACTCAGCGACCCATGAATTGTAACTTTACCAATCCATGATTTAGCACAACCATCGTCAGTGTCTTCGATGAGCTTCCTCTTTACCATGATACGGTGGACTGCACTGGTCATCACTTCCCACTGCAGCTTCCGAACATCCATCTAGCAGCCATCAATGAGATGGAGGTTCATATTTAGAGTAGGTGAAGGAGTATAAAATAATCATTCACTAAATGATACATGTTTTTAACAAAGCGAAAATGTGATGTAGTCTTTAAGTCTTACTCTTGGTAATTCAGCTTCAGCAGCACATCTCCACCTTATCATAAACTCTGTGGTTCTTTTTGGCTGATCTAAAGATTGACCATAGGCTCTAACCTTCACCTGGCTGGACCTCCTCCACATCACCCACGGACTTCCCTCTCGTTGTCTCACTGGAGGGCTTGGTACATGATATCATAAGATGGTCTGCCCATAGTGTGTCCTATCCATCTCCACTTTCTTCTGGTATACGTTGTGCAATAAGTTCTCAGTTGGTTCTTTTCCAGAGTTGCTTCTGGCGAATTCTTTCTGACTAGCTACATGATCTTCAGTTTGGAGGCAGCGAAAGCAGCTGTCGATAAAAGTGTGTGATCTGCTGGAAATGTTTTTGTAACACGCCAATCACTGTATCTCATGCAGGCCGTAAACATCAGCTTTTCAAAAAGGTGAAAACGAGGGGATACGTTTCAATAAAGTTTAAATACTTCAGCTACATATTTATTCAAGCGTAATATTATATTCACCAAATGAGTATATCAAAAAATAGGCTTTAGTCGTAAAAGAATATTTTAAAAAAGACACACAGACGAGGAATATTACGAGATGACTTCATTTCATAGTTCCTCTATAAACTTGCGGTACAACTAGTCCAATTTTGTAGAAGCTATGATTTATCCCAGTCCAGCGATTGTCACGAAATGACATTAATTGGGGATTCATAGATTGTCACTGGAATTTAATCAAAACTCCTGAAAACTTAAAATATCTTGAAATTAACCTCCTTCTCATTAATAATTACAAGATTGATGTCTTGAAACTTTAATGAGAAGTCGTAGCTGGTTTTAGTTTACCATCTCAGGTTTGAGGCGGACACTCACTGATGGTTCTGGCTGCTGGAAGGTAAAAGTCTATGGATCACTGGATTTAGACAGTTTCTCTTCATATTCTATAGGCTATGGGTTTCATCCCTGGTGAGGTGGGTTGTAGGACAGTGCCGAATTACGCCGAAACAATTGTCTAATAAGTGCTCTTTAGTTTAGTGACAGTTCTCTACATTATAAGGGAATGAAATGATAACCGATGAATTAAACACATGTTTTATGGGGAAAATCCTCAATATTTAACTTCATAATTAATAATATTTTTGAATAATTCCAGAAAATACTATAAATTAAAGTTATAAAGATAAATTAGATGTCAGATGAGTAGAAAATAAGGCCAATTAAATAAGATGAGTTAGGAAAGCTGCTTTTAACATACATCCCATATATTTTGGTGTATATATGTGTGTGAGTATGCGTATATACGTGAACTGTTAATGTTTCTCCTAAAACTACATATACATACATTTATATGCATAAATATACTAGTTGTATGTCCACAAGAACAGTTTATAAGTATAAGCAGTAGAACATTGCAGAGGCCCAATAATCATTAATTATAAAAGCCTATAGAAATGTCCCTCTACCATTAAGTTTATCTATACATCCACCTCCCCCCATTCACGTTGTCTTAAGAATAATATATTTTCTCAGGTGAATGATCTCAAATCATCAGAAGAAGAACTCAAGTAAACTACTCTTAACTGTTTTTTTTTCAAATTGTTTTCTAAGTCAGTTAGCAGAATGCAAACACATTGGTTATAGAAGTTCCCAGCTTCACGGCATCTTCACTGGATAACTTTATTTTGCTAAGGAATCACAGTGAATCACGTCTGCAGTTGAATTCACTCGGCATTCTTCACTGTCTAACAATCCAGAAATGTTCTAAAAATACCAACAAAAAATTATTTCATTATAATGATATTTTCACAATCATTCTCTCGTGAAACGCCAACGGCTACATCAACACCAACACCCCCGCCACCGCCGTTCCTGCCACCACCACTTTCCAATCATTTTCAGTATGATTCATTTCAGTGTCATGAAAACTCTTATCCAAATACACAGAAGCTGAATGCAGGAAGTGAGGCGAATACATCCTTTCAAAAGCCTCCTATGGCTACTAGTTTACCCTATAGACAAGATCAAGTGTTCCCATCCCCTCCACCGCAAAATGAGCGCAGTAATTTAATACAAGTAAACGATTTACAAATTCATAATTTTACAAACACTAAAAGCATATTACCGCCTGTAATTAATCTACTTACTCCATGCAGACTACAAAAGAATCAACTGATAGACACAAAAAACTCTGAAGTTTCTTGTACTACTTCGTCGTCATCTTCTTCTGCTGCTGTTTGTTCAGATCCTCCTCCACTATACAATTTTTCAAGAGTGGAGCCTGTGAAATCAAACTTTCTTGTACAAGATATGAGAAATGATATTGGTAATCCGAGTAAGCAACAATCACAAACAGAATACAAAGGCTACAATAGTAGTCGACATCAAAATTCAGAAATGTATTCATGCAGGCAATTAGTAAGTTGACGAATAAGCTTAACCATGATTAAACATAAAGTTATTGAGTTATAAATTGAAATGCATAGGTCGTAACATTTCACTTTAAGAACTGAACGGTGTAGACTGAATCCTTTGTAGGATCTTTGATGCGTATTGTTGAACAGATTCAAATAGATTTTTGATACCTCGCTCTCTCTGTCTCTCGGTCATTTTTTATTTGATGTCTATTTTTGAAGACATATTCCATGAGTAGTAAATTAATCATTTGGTTATGGTTTCTAGCCATCCGTTTGGTCTTTTAACCACTGATAAAAGTCTGATGTGGACTGTTAAAAATGATTTCGGTGGCGTGTGTGCCAGCTACTTCGTTCTAGTTTGAGACTCTGCAACAGTAATGACTCGCGAACCTCGAGAATTCAGTTTCTTTTAATTACCAGGCTAGTATACTCACCGTTCAGTAGCCTGAAAAGAATCCAGTGGCCTTTAAATTCCAACCTGGTACATAAAATCCCCCTGAAATTTAAAAAGAAATTAATTTTTATGTTTTAATCCCAAATTTAGATAGATTAATCCCTTTAGTCATAAATAACATAATGGATCTCATAAATATCCGCAAAATCACTTAAATAACATCAAGTTAAATGGATAATAATAGAAAGTACAAGAAATAATCACTAGTGCGACACATTTTAGATTTCTGAAAGACTATTGTAAAAGGCCTTCGACAGAGAGTGTTGATAGAGAAGTAATTTGGAAACTACTACAACACTACGGCGTGTAGTGCTCAAATCTTTATCAACCTCATTCAGTAGCTGGCTATATGACAATGACACGTGTCAGGTGATCTACAACGGAAAACTCAGAGAGGCGTTCGAAGTGAACACAGGAGTAAGACAAGGCTTCTTGTCTGCTATCACTGATGATAATCTTAAATATGGTGGACTGGATTATGCGGAAGACTGTGTACACGGGGATGAGAAGTCAGGAATACGCTGCACTGACCGATAAGAAGACTTTAGAAGGTCTGAACTCCACACGTGTATAATTTATGTTTAATGTCACACAAACTGGAAGATTTGCAGGCGAAAACCAACAAACTGACTGAAGAGGTAGACAGTAAAGACGGGACTCCAGGTGAACATAAAGATGGAGGTGATGAAGGTAACTAACCGACGACAACAACAACAATCAGCACCGATCTCCATTAAAGGGAGAGTTTTGACAGAGGTTACTCCCTTCGCTTATCTAACCGGGAAACACGGTTTGAACCACAGGTAGTTGGAACGGATAAAAATGTCAAAGGCGGTCGGAATCAGAAAGGCAAGATGCGACTTCATTAACCTGAAACAAGTCTAGAAATCTTCTGCACTGAACTGAGCCAGCTAGCCTAAACAACAAGATTCGGATTTTCAACACAAATGTGAAGTCAGTCAAAGAGTTCTTCTATATGGGTCAGAAGCGTGCACTGCGTGTCACGAAAGGCATTTCCAACAGGCAGCGCTGCAGACTTTTATTAACAGCTGCCTTGTCTGGCTCCATACTGAAGATCAGATGGTTGGCCGGCCAGAAAGAATTAGCAGCAAAAAAACTGTGGCTGGCAACAAACAAACAAACAGGCAAGAGCCGATTGCTCAACAAATATGAAGGAGAAAATGGAGATGAATTGGGCTTACATTGAGGAGACCATCGAATGACATCGTGCGCAATGCAGGCCATCACTCAAGTGGAATCCTAATGGGCTGCGATGAGTGGGTCTCCTTTGCAAGCGTGATATAGAGGACATCGTTTGGGGATAAGGAGATGAGAGATTATGGGCAATCGTGAGCCCAGCTTAAGAAGAGAGCAGAGAATAGAAGGAATTTGAGGTGTGTTGTTGAAGCCCCCTATTTTCTGCTTGGAACCCTAGAGAATAATAAATAAATAATAAAGCAACAAGACATATACTGATTACCACGTATTTCCCTACAGCTTCTATGAATAGTTGATTCAATGAATGGAAACTCGGCTGTCAATATCATTTAGGATCTAAATATCTGACTCTTCAAGAGTGTGATACTGTCGAATCACTTTGGATGACGATGTAGTATTGTTCAGTAGTCTGTTAAGTTATATCTAAATCAAATTCTCAATTTGCGAACTGATTTGCAATTTATACATTTCGAGGAGAATTTTCCCTACAGTTTCCTTTAGAAATCAAAATTACTCAGATCACAGTATGTGATCCGCTTAATACTATAAATGGCAATCAGTGAAGTAATCATAATTGCATAACACTATATACTATTAGTTGATTGAGATGAGAAGTTTTATACCACTTACATAGACCAATAGTCCTTGATAGTCAGATTGAAGTGATCTAGACACCAAACGGCTGTTTCACTCGTTTGGCGTCAAGCTTATCAGAGGTGAACCCGGCTTGCCTCAGCTCAAAGATCTGAATTATTTCACACCATCCCCAAAACAACCGTCCCGTGTTGATAGCACTTCTCTCTGGCTAGCAAGCACTACTAGTTGATGTGAATAGCACCTAGCTACTCATCTCAGTCAATCAGTAGTATATATTTTAACGCAAACTAGTTAAATTTAACCTGTTCTGCATTCTTATGATTTGTTTAACTAAATTCAACTTTTTTCACTTACATTCTTGACCTCTCGCTGTATTGTGTTTGTTGAATCAAAGCGGTTGATCTGAAAAAGGTGAGTTTCAGGAAATGAGTTGTATGGATTAATAGCGCCCAAGGTTTGCAAACGTCGTTTCAGAATAAGTTGGCATGTTGGAGTGTCATATGAATTACAGACACATTGTTGGCTGTAGAAGTTGTTCACTAACGCCAAGTTGGATAAAAGTTGAAATGCAACCCATAGTTTTGAAGAATAAATAAGTTCATTAGACGAACGTTTGGTCAGTAGATAGAAAAATTTCACTTTCAATAGATATATATATATATTGTAAATCTGAAATCTGTTATACCCTAGTTTTAAACATATAGGCAATACGCACCCACCGGGTTCGAGCATAAGACTTTCCGGTTATAAGTCAAGGTCGAAGACCATTCAGCCACTGGGAACCAACTCAATGGCCACTCCATGAATCCTTACTTCTACCAATTCGTGATTTTAGTGCAGTCACCAGCCGGTGTCATCGGTTAGTATTTGTCCTCACTCCCGACCTGGTGGACCTCACTGGAAATTACTCTTCACTAGAAAAGGCTGCAGTCAATTTCGTCTTGTAACCAGACACTTACGAGCATCAGACTAATTATGAAGACTTAGTTTTTGGAAATTTGCTTGTTTCAAGTTTAACAGCGGAGTGATATCATCTAGAGAACCATTCGAAGTCATCAGGAAGTATTGGGTAGCTGTTTCACCATAGTTTGGGATTCGTCGGAATTACACACCTACTATAGTTCGTCCTTCTTTTCGAACGCCAAACTGCTTTGAGTTTAACTGCTGAAGTCAGGTGCGTACATCAAGACAGTGGCTGAAATGTCATTGGTCTTGCATCACAGCATGAAAAAAACTTAAATTAGAAGGCGATAACCGTTTAGTCCTCCATGATTTTCAGTGGTTCCCTAACGGGTGTAAGTTTATGATCTAAATTAAAATCAATAAATTGCCTAGAAACAAACACTTAAAAATTATAATATTTGTCGCATCCAATCTCTAATTATCACTTCTGTGTATCTTAATCTATTTAATGATATGTAGAACTATTCTAGACATTTGTTTCGTAGAACACGTAGTTCAACGAAGAGTCTCTTTTCATCAAATTCATTTCCTTTATCTGTACAAGGAGTCTCTTCGGTGAACTACATGTTTTGTTTTTGGTCATTTCTAGATGGAGATTATTCAAGAATGTATTTCTTATACACTGAGGAGGTACCTCTAGCTTATTATGTTACTGAAATAGTTAGACAAGAATTGTAAAGTTCACCACCCACTGGTAGAATACTTACCAGCCTCACAGTTAATTCAGATTCCATTCCCAACCAATGCACTCCGAAACCTCAACCAGTTTACTAGCCGGCTGTAAGCTTGGAAAAAAAGGAACAGTTGTACATGAGTCTTGGAATACCGCTCCGTAGAACAACATCATTATTACTGAAACTTTAAGTCGGAATGCTTGAAGTTCTACGCTTCATTTATAATCCAAGGGAATGCAAAAAAGCGTGGTTTATTCCCAGCGTTACAAATATTATTCGTCAGAGAAGTGTACGATTTACTGGATGGTTAACGGATTGACTTATTTCGAGAGTTGTTGATAGCTTTAATTAACTGAATGGTAAAACGTATCCCACCTGCATTCTTAGTTATAAACTAAAATAGTTGATATTGTCTTTTTCAATCAATCTGATTAGTGTTATCATTCTGTGAAATATGATTTAAATATGATTTTAAATGAACACTTATGGAAAACTTGAACTTCAGCTAAATTCTCTTTTCAGTGTATATGCAGAAGCATATATTTTCTGCGTAAACAATAATTTTCAATGTATGCAAAATAAAATGCCCACACCTATATAGGTCAGTTCATCCGTTGTCGTGTTTAGTTAATCTATGAGATAAATAACTTAACATAAAATGTTTACATTTCAAAATACTTTACGTTTGTAACCAAAATAACAAACATAAAGTTGACTTAAGACTTTATATTTATAATAATTTCAAATAAGATTCACTGTTCTGAATGATGATTTAATCTGTAAGTGAATCACTTTAAAGAAGGTTCGCATTTTGTCTTCTGATTTCATCCTAATGAATTTTTGGCGTTATCTAACTGATTAAAGCTAACTAGTGTTATTTGTTAGTGGTATTTTTAGATCAGTGGTAAGAACAAAAATGGTTTTCCTTGCCGTCTCTTTATAATATCTCTAAATTGAGATTCAGCGACAGAATTTTCAGGTTGAATCTTGATGATATGGTCCCAAGAAAGATTGGTTCCCACTCCATGAGAGCCTTCGGTGCCGTTGGTGACGTAACCATAGACTGAGTGTGTTCGTGGTTGTTATCTGAATGAC